ATTTTTTAGCCCTGACGATGTTTACTTTATGTTGATATTACCAGGTTGTAGCATCTCTCCACCTCACGGCAGCGTCACAGTAGATAGTATAGAGGATCACTGGGGCTCCTGGAAAGACGTGTAAACATTCCATTATATTAATATGTTTCTAAATATAATATAGCTAGTGTGTGTGTGTGTGTGTGTGTGTGTGTGTGTGTGTGTGTTCTCCTTGTGTATTTCCACATTTTTGAAGACAGCTGAAATTTGGTAGGGAGGTGCGGGTGGCCTATGTAAAGGGATGATCATGCACTATTGCCTATCCCTCTACCCTGGCTAATACGGGTAGGTTAGGTTAGGTTAGGTTAGGTTAGGTTCCGTCTCAGCAGTAGGCACAGTTCATGTCTTATCTTTTATCATGCTGTAAGATATCTGTGGGCGGGAATGAAAGCTGGAGTGGTGGTAGAGGTAGAAGAGTTATTGTCTCAAGACCACGACCTCCAACAATGGCTGTGGGTGAACGCTACCACCACCTACCACGCCCTCATCGTCGACAACACTAGTGATAACATTACCTCTTTGGTCAGGTAGGTTATAAAGTCGTTCATATTATGTACACTCACTCCAGGAAGTATCTTCACGGAGAGGTTCTATGAATTTTAAAATAAACACCGCTACTCCTGTTGTCTCGGTAGGGTTGTCAAAATCCTTCGTCCGTTGTGTCATATTCTTTTGCAGAAAATCGTAAAGATACTTATTTGGAGCGAGTGGTACACTGAGTATATAATTCGTAGTTACTTAAAATAATGTTGCTGAAAGACTCATTAGTTTGCAATAGCTTTAACGCATTAATGAGAAGGTTGAAGTCACACCAGGTTGACCCCACAGGTTCCTGGAGCAGTGTGGCCTCTGGTCCCGGCCTGAGGTGCGGCTCATGGTGGTGGGTCACAGGTCACATGTGGAGACAGTTCTCCTACATCCTAGTCTCCGTAATACAGTTCACGCCATCTACCTCGTCCTCCACAACCTCGTCCTCCACACTCCCACCATAAAGCTCAGAGAGAGAAATTCTGATAAAGGTTATAATTGTCACAGTGACGTTATGGTCCACCTGAGAGCTGGATGTATGACGATGTTTCTCTGACGTCACAGACAGTCACCATACTGAGAGATTTTGTCCCTTATATTAGTTATTGTTTTATGTTTCTGGTGTAAGAGAACGTAAATGTCTTTAATTTTATTTTTATTTTTTATTCCCAGTGGGTGAACGTGTGATGGTGTACCGGCGTTGTTTATACTGCAACAACGGGGAGGCGGATGTTCAGTTGGTTTACCTCTGGAACCTCGCATCTGGCCTCCCGAGAGATGTGAACCTATTCTACGGTAATTATGTGCCGTAATCTCCCTCCTCTCGTACCTGTCTGTGTGTTGTGAGTCAGGCTGTAACGGCGGCAGTTTCTCTTTACTCATTCTCTGCCTTATCTTTTACTGTTACTTCTCTTGTCTTAGTTCTTTAATTCAATTGTTCTTTCTACTTACTTCAATGGTTACTGCGTAACCTTAGTTCTTTTTGGTAGCATGGACGAGGGTCTAGGCACATGGGTATTGTAATTCTGATATCAAGTCACTTGGACGGAAATAAAGGTAACTACTGTGGGAGAAATGAATACTCTTAAAATACTCAAAGAACAGGTTTATTAATATGAAATCAAAGGGAAAAGGATATATTATTAACATATAACTTCAAGGTGCAACTCCTCGCTTTCTCAACTACAATCTCAGTATTTCTTATTTACCTATTTTCTTAATTTCTTATTTTTACTCCTCTGCAATTTACTCGGATATTACACTCTTATTACTCACACCCTTACTGGTGTTACATTATATTACATAGCAGGCCCAGTTCCTTAGCCCTACTCCCAATACATAGTTACAAGACAACTCCTGGCTCCTCTCAATTCCCAATTCAAGTGGGTACTTACTTCACCCACATCTTCTAGTGGCACATTTCATGACAAGTGGACAACTTTACTTCTCACACATTATGAGGTACTTTCCATTACATCCATCTGTAAGACAACCTTACTTAAGATACTTCACAGAGTGTTGGTAGTGCATAGGAGATGCACTCACACACAACACGTAAATACTGATACCAACAAATACATGGGTCCACTACCCAACATGGGGTAATTATTAACAAACACATACAACCACACTTGGACCATAACTCCAAGGCATGTCCCAGGGTATAGCACTGGCGCCTCTAACAACTGACGACTGCTGTTGTGGTCGGTGGTAGCCAGGCACATGGTGAATCTGGGGTCTAGCTCATGAGGCGGACCTGCTGTCTCAATCATGTTGAATCACCGACATCAATGCATATGTTGATTGCTGCTGGTTACCCACCGGCTCAGCAGCCGATGGGGTGTTCGAATAAGCCCACCCTGGAATCTGGGAACAAACGGGAGAGAAGGTGTCACGGGTGACAAGACTTGGGAAGCATAATGACAACACAAACAAATCTTTCGTCTTGCAACGTCAGACGACATTTACTTTATATTACTTCTCACACAGGGTGAATGACAATTCCACTGTTGAAGCATGAACACTGATAAACACTGATATTCACTACAATGACTAGGTCAAACTGAATGGCTAGGGAACACATCTACAGTACATACCTGGAAACAAACGGGAGAGACGGTGTCACGGGACGCTCTCTCTGCCCGCCCATGGTATATATACCCTTGGGTTGCCAGCGATCGCTACTCACGCAATGACAGAAATTACAAACAACCCAACTGTTACTCATTCAAAGATGACCCTCAGTTGACAAAGGTCTGGCGAATTACTTGAGTTGATTTACACAAACTAATTCAAGATTGAGCTTGCCAGTAGAGAGTGGAAAAATCGTATTGACAACTGTGTTCGAAGGCGGGACTTACTGGGAGGGATCATGAGTCGAAGGGGAAAAACAGGTCTTCTCAGGGATGGCTAACCCACTCATGTTTTGCGTTCGTGGAGTATAATAAGAATCTGGTTCTAAAACAGACTAGCAGTCAACGTGACCATGACAAAGCTCCCTCTTTCCCCAAGATTCTTATTATGCGGTAATGTTCGCTAAACATAAGAACATAAGAAAATAAGGAGTCTGCAATAGGCCGGTTGGCCTGTGCATGGCAGCTCCTGTCGAGAGTTACTACCACTCTCTATCATCCATGAATCTATCTAGCCTCCTTTTGAAACTTTCCAGAGTTCCCACACTTACTACAAAGTTGCTAAGCTTGTTCCACTCGTCCGCCACCCTATTTGTGAACCAGTTTTTTCCTATCTCCCTCCTAAACCTAAACTTATCCAACTTGAATCCGTTGCTCCGAGTCCTATTCTGCTCGGATATTATAAGAACTTTATCTATATCCCCTTTATTGATTCCTTTCACCCACTTAAATACTTCTTTCATATCTCCCCGCACTCTTCGTCTTTCTAGGGAATGCAAGTTAAGTTTCTTTAACCTATCCTGATATGGAAGGTTTCTAAGTCCCGGAATCATTTTTGTCATTCTTCGCTGCACCAGAACTGAACCGCATAATCGAGGTGCGGCCTGACTAGCGCAAGATATAGTTGCAATAAGACCTCTGCACTCTTGTTACTTACACTTCTAGATATAAAACCCAATACTCTGTTTGCCTTATTTCGAACATTAACGCACTGTTTTCTAGGCCGTAAGTCCGGGCTTACAAGTACCCCTAGGTCTCTTTCACAAGTCGACTTCTCTAGGTTGATGTTGTTAAGGCTGTATACATTGACAGTATTTGTTCTTCCAATATTAAGTACGCTGCACTTGCTGGTGTTGAATTTCATTTGCCATTTTTCAGACCACCCCTGCAGTTTATTTAGATCCTCCTATAATGCATTTGCATCCTGCCCTGAATTAATTTGTACAGTAGTTACACAGATTCTTTAAATAACTGTTACCTTTCGTCACGATTTCACACTACATACACTTGTAATAACACATGAGAACTATTACAGGCGTCTGGCACAAAAGGCATACAAAACAAGAACACAATGGTTACATACATGGGATAAACGGTAGTTAAAAAAACACAATCTATTATCATTGACAACATTGCATAGGGAAACAAAATACAGATAATTAAATATAAATAGGAATAATGTAATGATAAAGAAAAACATAAACATGGGGTTACACACATAGCAAAAAAAAAATGTTACTCAATAAACACTCTGGAGATACAGCTTCTCATATCAAAAGTTTCACTAAGAGATTAATCAAATGCTTACTCGACACCACTGAGATTTAACTTAGACTTCTCAAGCTAGGACGTAGATGAACAGATCCCATCAAGTCGAAGGAATGAATTGAATGACTTTAAACGAAAGAGTCATTGTCCTACTTGCAAGAGGCAGCAACCTTCAAGTGATCCCGAACGAACGGCGATAATCCTCAGAATATGATGCAAAATGATACGGTTCTTATGGGAACACAACCAAACTAAAAAACTGTCTGTACTTATTGCATTTGCCATTTAGCGAAATCAGTGCCATGCATACCATGCCTGACCCCACCTAAAAGTCACGAACACTACTCCTATACACAACAGCAAGTCTGATCAGGACTTAACTCACAAAACTTGAGAACTCACAACTGGTATCTTTACTCAACCGGTAACAGATACCCATCAGATGGTTGCATAACAGCCAATCCATCTTCCAATCTCTGTGTCTTTACTGCAAATTGACAACCCCTCTCTGGAAAAAAAAAAAAATCACAAACATCTATATACTCACAAACATTCCCATGCACCACATTCCACTCTCACATGAGCAAACAGCAAACTCACTTTCCACAACTTACAGATGCAAGGCAACAACACATTCTCTCACTTACCAGTTGTACTTCACAATTGCAACACAAATATGCAAAACATCACTCTTCACCATGCACATCAACAACCAATGCATTCCAATCACAGGTCAACAACCCTTTAAAGAAA